ACAAAGAGGGGGGGGGGGGGGGGGGGGGGGGGGGGGGGGTTGTTGATTCAATGTAAGAAAGGATGATTTCATTTCAGATTCAACAAATAATGGGTAAAAGCTATAAGTATATATTAAGTAACATATTTGATGACCCATCTCTCCCTCCCTCTCTCCCTCTCTCTCTCTCTACCCCCCCACCAAAACAAAAAAACCCCACCCCAACCAAAACCAATGCAAAAAGCAACATTAAGAATTAGCATATATTAACATGCTGTACTAGTCTACTAGAATTGTTTAAGGTTTGTCAATTCCTAGTGCTAATTCAAGATAAACCACTTTCACATTACCATTGATTGCAAATATAAATGCTTGACCAAACAGTTTGTCCAATTAAAAAGTATTTCGTCATTGCAGAGATTCTGTTAAAAATAAACATATTAACATACTTCCAAAATCTTTTCTTTTTTGTTTTTATGTGGTAACGGGAGAAATTCTTAGTCCGTCCCCGGAGAGTAAAGACAAGTTTTATGTGAGTTCGAATAGAATCGAGAGCAAATTTTGGGTGCAAAAACCGGTCTCTATATTCATATATCAGTTAAATCAGAACTTGTATTTTAGTGGGGATTCAAACTCACACCAAAGACTTAAATACGATTGTCCAAATAATGAGATCCGTCTTACCAATTAATCATGCTTTTAACACTCAAAAGATTTGAACCCTTAGTTTCAAAAAATTAAAGCCTCGACATAGTAGTGGACATCGTTGGGCTGAAGCCCCATTGGTATTTGTAAAGTCTTTTGTAAAGACTCGTGTGTTTGTTTATGGACTCTTTAGTTTCATTCATTATTAAAAGGAAAGTTACAGTCGGTTCTTATAGAAAAGTTTCTTCCATGGAGAAAGAAAAAGTTAGAGTATCCTTATTTAACAACTAGTTATTTTTCCTGTCTAAAGACATTGAGTAATAAAAAAAATAGTTAATAATAAACATATTTGTATTCACATTTAAAATTAAATTACAAAAATAGAGAAAAAATAAATAAATTTAAGTACTGGTTACAATGAGGACAAATAGTGACAATAATGGTGGGCGACAGTGGTGATGGTGAGAGACGATGATAATTGTGATGGATGATGACAACCGATTGTAATGATGACAGTTATAGGTGACATTGGTGATGATGGTTAGGGGGGGGGGACAGTGAGGGTGGTGTGGTAGGGGTGATGGTAGGATAGTGGCAGTAGTTATCAGGTGGCGGCAAAGATAGTGATGGTGGGGCACTAATGGGGTGGTGGTGCTAGGGTTACGATAGTGGAGGTGGTGGGACGATGGTTGCTGTGGAAGAAGTAATGGTGAGGTGATAGTAGTGGTGGCAATGACAGTGGTAATGAAGCGATGGGTATGGTAGAGTGGCAGCAGTGGTAGTGGTGAGGTGACGATGGTGGTAGTGGAGTTGGTGGTAGTAGAGGTGTTGGTGAGACGATTTTTAAACACTATATATTTTTTTTAAAGTATTTATAAAAAGTTATAAGTATTAAAAACATTTTTAAAAAGTCACCCAAACACACCGTTAGAACCTTATTTTTTATATTAAATTTAAAGTGTTAATATTAACCGTCAGATTAACTTTAAAATAAAATTTAAAGAGATCTCAACTGCGAATAGTAAAAATCATTTTGTTTATCTTTTGAGATTTAAATTATATTGTATTTTATTATATAGATAATGGATTAGTCTACTGTACCCCAAAAAAAATTCCATAATTGTTGTTTATAATTTTTGTGGACATTTTTATAATTTTTTTATAGGATCTTAAAATCGATTGCAAAGTATCATAAAAATGGTAAAAATAATTACCAAATAAGTGGTAAAAATATCCCACAAAAGTTATAAAAATACTCACAA